TCCTCTTTTGTATCTTCCACTGGAGCAAAGGCGCCCAGTGAACTCACGCGAAGCCCTGTGTAGATTTGTTAATGACTAGTCGAGTGTGGCAATGCAAGGTAACCACGAAAGTATCAACCATTTAGTGATCTGTAGCAACCAGGATTAGGAGTTTTGTGATATTATTGATCATTTATCATCTACTAACAGACCGACGGACCGACTCGCCTACCTAACTGCCTACCCTAACAATCTCTGTCTGTCTGCCTGCATGTCTGTCTGTTTGACTGTCTGTCTGTCTATCTGCCTGCTGTCTGTCTGTCTGTCTGTCTGTCTGTCTGTCTGTCTGTCTGCATGTCTGTCTGTCTGTCTGCCTGCATGTCTATCTGTCTGTCTGCCTGCATGTCTGTCTGTCTGTCTGCCTGCATGTCTATCTGTCTGTCTGTTTGTCTGTCTGTCTGTCTGCCTGCATGTCTGTCTGTTTGTCTGTCTGTCTGTCTATCTGTCTGCCTGCATGTCTGTCTGTCTGTCTGTTTGTTTGTCTGTCTGTCTGTCTGTCTGTCTGTCTGTCTGCCTGCATGTCTATCTGTCTGACTGCCTGCATGTCTATCTGTCTGTCTGCCTGCATGTCTATCTGTCTGTCTGCCTGTATGTCTATCTGCCTGTCTGTCTGTCTGTCTGTCTGTCTGTCTGTCTGTCTGTCTGTCTCTGTCTGTCTGTCTGCCTGCCTGCCTGCCTGTCTGTCTGTCTGTCTGTCTGTCTGTCTGTCTGTCTGTCTGTCCACCCATCTACATTGTATAATGTGCTATAGGAATGACAGTATATATTCAGCATGTTCAACGATGAATCACGGAAATTCACAGTACTGCTACGACCCTAAATCAACCATAAGTTTCCTCAATTATGAAACACAAATTATCCTACGGTTGAATTCACATTATCCAACTCAATCACATTTCTGTTTCTTTGGCGCACTTCTTGTTGTTCTTAGAGTTTATGTGTTTTAAATAACACCACCACACTCATTCCATCGTCTTCTAGAAGCTGCCAGTCAGTAACATGTGAAACAGGTGTTTGCACACAATTCATATCCCCCCCACCCCACGAAGCACCCAGGCTTTCATTCTTCCACTGCTATCTTGTCTTGTTGAGTTGGCTTCGACCCGATGACGTAGCCCAAGAAACAGACCCCGTCTAGCGTACTACATTCATTACGGCAGCCGTACAGTCCCGTGTTGTGGACATTCGTTCTTTTTATTTTGTTTTAATTTACTTTCCGAGATGAGAATCCAACAGAAACCCCGTTCAACAAAGTTCAACACCTATGGCCCAGTTCTGGTGGACTGGGATTCCAATGAATTCGTTAGTATTTCTCTCGGCTGTCAAGTACAGTGCTCTGGTATCAGCAATGTCCAAGACTTGTAAAATAATTCTCAGTAGAATTATATAGTAGTGGACAAAATCCTGAGAGGGGCACCAACAGATCTTCGCTCTGGAAGAAGCTATTTAGATTTAATAATTCCATAGAGACTTACTGTATAGAATTTATAGAAAAACAACAACCCTTATTTTGAATTCCATCGACTTTAAGAAGGCTGTTGACAGCTTACACATAAAAAACAGGTTATGGGGCATTTTGGAATGCTTTGGTACACCCAAACAAATAATAAACATTACTACAGCAATGCACGATGCTCACAGTGTGCAGTGCGAGCGGATGATGGTTTAAGTGACTAAAATGCAGTTGAATCGGAGCGAAACTAGAATGCATTTTATCTCCCCTGTTAGGAGGGGCAGGGGCCGACCGACACGAAGATGGGCACAGGATATAATTGACTCCTTGAGTGTGAAAGTGCATGAGGCAGGATAACTGGCGAGAGACCGAGTTTCTTTCAGGCAGACTGTGATGAGAGCGACGTTCTGCAAAGGACATGATGATGTTAATTGATATAGCTATTGAGCTGGTGATGGCAGAATGTTGTGTTGGAAATACCAGAATAGACTCGGTGAAAAACACACAAGTGCAGGATCGTGATTTTGCAGAATATATTGGTACTGCTAAGAAGAATAACAATGTCATGAAAACAAAAAACAAACCATTTAGCAAAAATAGCACCCAAAGTTGGAGTTAAAATATCACTACCAAAATACTGAATGCATCAATAACACAACAAGCAGATGTATCACTGGAGATAAAAGGTATTAAAGTAACAGATTGATTTAAGTCTGAACGCGATCGAATAAGTCATTTTTGTTTTTCAAGAGAGAGAGAGAGAGAGAGAGAGAGAGAGAGAGAGAGAGAGAGAGAGAGAGAGAGAGAGAGAGAGAGAGAGAGAGAGAGAGAGAGAGAAATTTGCTTTCTCGGGTAATAATCATGTAAGTCAATGAAACTCAAATCTATGACACGCACCGGCAAGGCATTAATAGTCCATCAAATATGCCGAATAACACAGTCACTGAATGACCCATTTAGGTATCAAAATAATAACACCCCCCCCCCCCCCCCCCATAATGAAGTTTGAAGTTGGAACAATGGATCAACATCATGGCACACGGGCCGAAACCCTCAAGTGCTCCGTTCTTTCTTCTAACTCATGTCTAGAAGCTCAGCACAGTGCACAGGCTCTGTAGCACCGGCGAGGATCCTAATAACACATTGGGTAGATTTTAAACTCCAAATTGTCGTTAGGCTACTGTTTTTTTTTTTTCAATTTCCAACTGCCAAAGGATTTTTTACGTGTGCAACAATGCAAACGGGCGTCCGACCTCACTACCCAGAAACCAGGGAAAATACTATAAACCTCACTACCCAGAAACCAGGGAAAATACTATAAGTCCAAGTCCACGTGAAAAAATCTCAGCCCTCCTGGAGATTGAACCCGGAACCTCCAGCACTCGTTTGGACACCATGCCTCGAGACCACCCAGCCTCCAAGCGACCTAATAAAAACAATCGACGATAAACATGTAAACAATCAAACAGGGACGATCCAAGACGACGGGTTAACAAAAGTACGAATGATTTACCGGAAATTGAAATACAAGGGAAACAAGCAATCAAAGAAAGATAACAAGATAAAACAGGATTGTTTTCCCCGTATCTCTTATTGGCTCCCTGTTATATTATTTAAACTCATCACCAGGCCAGTGGCTCTGCGGATTGTTCTAATGCAGTGTGTAATGTTTGAGCCGATACAATGGAGTGTGCTGCATCTCATGATAAAAATCCTCATCCGAATGGTGGCCCCGGGTGTTGACGCTCGTTGTGCGGTTTTGGGGTTGAACGTCACACACTCACACATACACACACTCACAGACAGACACACTCAATAGTCCAGTGGATAATGACCCATCTGATACAAACACGACTGCGTGACATGGAAGTACAGCATTGTGAGGAATGTCAATGCCACCTTGATGTTGAGATAGGAGACATTAAAACTAAATCCTCATGGTAAAAATCAGTACAGGTGCTTTGGAGTTGCTGCTGCATTCGGGGACTGAGCATGCATGGAAATGCCCAATGTGAAGTGACATTAATTGTGATAACATAACATTTATCTCGTGTTTGCTACTACATGGTGTTCAGCTCTTCGTACCAACGCGTTTATCTAGTGTTTTCTTCGCAATGGCAAACTACTGAATGTACAGCTGCCTAGCAAAAACACACACCGGTTAATACATGATGTCGTTGGCTTGTGAAGTGCTGTTACAGAAGTACAACCTACTTTCCACCTTCCAATGCAGACTGTACTTCAGGGCATAGTTGCGTGTGCGTTCGCTTGACAGATCTCACATACTGTGTGCAGACTGTTCGTTACTTGCCTCTCATGCAGATGCACTCCGACTTCGAAGGAAGCTCCCTATTAGTCGACTCTTACGACATGTTTGTGGGTAGGCAGTGGGTTTACTCCTATTTTCCCTATAATAGGGTCCCGGAACCCACACGGGGTACAGGGCACATTAGTAGCATTTCTCATCTTCTCCATCAGGGTCTACATTCCCTCTTGCTAACGTTTTTAGTCCAGATTCTTCATCTCTACTAGAGTGGCTGGCATGGCAGTACTTGTAGTAACGTATTTGTCTATATTTATCTCCTGCACCAGAGTGTAAAACGCATAGACTTGTTTATTTACCAGGCACCTCACAGTAATGCATGTGTCCAGTCTTGCCTCCCCCACCAGACATCCCACAGTAATGCATCTGTCCAGTCTTGAATCCTCCACAAGACATCCCACAGTAATGCATCTGTCCAGTCTTGAATCCTTCACCAGACATCCCACAGTAACGCATCTGTCTAATCTTGCATCCTTCACTAGACACCATGCAGTAACACATTTGTCTAGTCTTGACTCCTCCCAGCCACCCCATAATAACGTATTAGTCTAGTCTTTTCTCCTTTCCACCAGACACCAAAAGCAAGTCAAGTATCTCCATTGTAGAGCAACAAATGTGATACAACAAAGATTTAGATAAACAACTTACCCATGATTGTTGTTTGTAGTCTCGTATCCGTTCGATAATGCTAATGTTGAATTTGAAAGTCTTCCATTAGCAGCAGGCGTGCTCTTTACCCCGTCTCCATAAGGCTCTTTCAGGGACCTCACAGTCATCGCCTGAGCGTTTTCTGGAGCCGGGGATTTCAAGAAAGCCAAACCACCGTCATTATGCGGGGGTCTGAACTGATGCCGGTACTGGGGGTTGCTTTGGTAAGGGTTGTCTGAAAGGATGTCCTGGTGTGAGGAGCTGCGATCACGCAGCCGTCGGTGCAGCTTTACTGGTGCTGACTCTGTTGTAACTGAACGTTCGTTGCCGCCAGAGAGTTGATCTGACAGCAGATCGGAGCTGCTTCTACTTCTAGAGAATGCTAGATAGGAAATCTTGCCGAATGGTGATGTCGAACCAGTACTAGGCGCAGGATTCTGGTTAACTAGTGTCACCCTAAGTCCACTGCTGCCTGTTGAAGTATGCGAAAAGCCATCTGGATGTGCCACAGAATTTGTGGATAGGGCGTCAAGGGACGAGGAGTTTGTGGTTTGTCGTCCTGGGTATACCGTGTAGTTTGCGTTATTTAATGAAGACGGCTGAAATCCTAATAAATGTTGTTGCGATGGCGATGTCTCTGAGTTAGCTCCAGAAGGTGAATACAGCGAGGTGTAACATGCTGATTTTGAGGCTGAAGAATCAGGAGTTGATAATGAGGATACAGGTGAAAATACAGGTGATGTGGCGTCAAGATTATAACCTGAATCGTGTCTGTAAAAAGAAGTAGCACCGGTAGTAGTAGTTTTAATACGTTCAAATGTTGCTGGTGCAGAACTCATCGATCTGTCTGTAGACTGGTGCTGCTCTGGGTTCTTCTGTTCATGCCGTCGCACATCTGAAGGGGAGCTGTTCTCTCCAGGAGAGTTGCTCTTCCACTGTTTCATCAAGTCTTTAAAGTTCATTTTTGAGGTGTCTACTCGAACCTCCTGGTCCTGTGGTTTCCCCAAAGGAATCACTTCTATGCGGTGTTTCTCTTTACCTGAGCCGTGATACTGGGTTGGTTCTGGGTCTAGTGCTGCCCTAGTCCCACCGGGTGATGGCTTCTTGTCTCTATTCATTCTGGGAGGTAGCGGCGGAGGTTCGGGGTTTGAACTGGCAGCTGGTCTAGGAGGTGGCGGCGGTCTTCTCTTTGTAGGAAAATTCTGATAAATTGGGGAAACCACTAAGCCGCTGTCCATGCTGGCGCTGGAATGAAAAATAAAAATGCAACAATGAGAATGAGACAACAATGAGGCAACACTAAGAAAACAACAGGACAACAATGAAATAAGTGCATACATGTCCGATTCAACAACTGACATCCCTCAACTAAGGACATCCTTATACGATCTGTGTCACCATCTCTCTCGATGTTGTCGCAGGAAAGAAACAAGTTGGAATCCAAGTTTGGTAACTACTACTACTACAGCTGCTACTGCGTGGTCGTGGTCGTAGTCGTTCTCCTCCTCCTTTTCTTCTTCTTCTTCTTCTTTGTTCACTGGCTGGTTTTACAAGGTCCTTTTACGTCCAGTGATTTCCTTTACCATACTATTGTCGAAATCAACACAACGCAGTCTGCTGCCCAATTGCCAGCAGCTGAATAGAACAGAGTATCTCGGAATTACGAATCCTGTACGCAACGCTTAAGTAAGATGCTAACTTGGTGACGACATCTGTTGACTGTTATATCGTTTAGTGTGCTCTCTTGCTTCACCTTCTCTCCCATTCTGTAGCCGGACTTTTTTTTTGGTATTTAAATGACCTTGGTTTCCAAGTCGACCCAGCTTTGAGTGGGTACCAGGTGCAGTCATGGGAAGTAAAGGCGACCTGTGTGATACTCAACAAACCACCCACCAATACCAATTGGTCTATAAAATATATATCTAGCCATATGTCCAATACGCTTGAAGGCGTGGATAAGGGTCCTGTACTCTCATTCTATCATGCGAACAAATCAAGGACTATTTTCCATGGTTTAACGGTTTTTATATTATACTGTCGGCATTCCACAGGTGATAGAATCAACACCATGCCGGTCGCCATTACTTTCCATGATATTTACTGGTAGCTATTTTGAGCTGGGTCGATCTGGGAGCCAAAGTTATTTACAAAAAAAAAAAAAAAAAAAAAAAAAAAAAAAAAAAAAAAAAAAAATCCAGCTCCTTGTGGATTTGAACTTACGATCTTCGGACCAGCATGCGAGCGTCTAACTGGTACAGCACGGCGGCTCTCATACCTACAAATACTTGCATATTGACTTATTGCGCCGTTTTAATAGTTGTATATTTGGACTAACAATCAGCAGCAAGAAGACAGAGATGATTGCGTAATATGCTCATGATAGCCCTGCAGTCTACATTGATAGTGAACTGCTGGATAGAGTTGATCATTCCACACACCTGGGATCCCCAGTCAATGTCCGACTACCACTGGACCAAGCAATCAACATCAGGGTCGGTAAGGCAGCAACAACAAGGAGCAGATCAACCAGACAAGTATGGGACAACATAAAGGCACATGTCGTTGGATAACCAACCAAAGCATTTGTTAGCTTTTGAGGTTTTTCTGAGCAAATTTGAGGTTCAGTAGTTTGTCATTGCTTTCTGAAAGCCAGTTCTCGGTACCAATGTCGAAACCAACACAAGAGGTTCTGACAATAGAAAGCTCACGGTTAAAACAAAAAGAAAAACGCTTTGCCTATCAAGACTGATCTCATCCCTCTCACTGACAAAGTTTGATCTCATACCTCTCAATCACTAAGTGTGATCTCATCCCACTCACTGACAAAGTGCGATCTCATCCTTCTCACTGACAAAGTTTGATCTCATACCTCTCACTGACAAAGTATGATCTCATCCCTCTCAATGACAAAGTGTGATCTCATCCCTCTCACTGACAAAGTGTGATCTCATCCCTCTCAATGACAAAGTGTGATCTCATCCCTCTCAATGACAAATTGTGATCTCATCCCTCTCACTGACAAAGTGTGATCTCATCCCTCCCACTGACAAAGTGTGATCTCATCCCTCTCACTGACAAAGTGTGATCTCATCCCTTTCAATGACAAAGAGTGATCTCATCCCTCTCAATGACAAAGAGTGATCTCATCCCTCTCAATGACAAATTGTGATCTCATCCTTCTCACTGACAAAGTGTGATCTCATCCCTCTCACTGACAAAGTATGATCTCATCACTCTCAATGACAAAGAGTGATCTCATCCCTCTCAAGGACAAAGAGTGATCTCATCCCTCTCAATGACAAAGAGTGATCTCATCCCTCTCAATGACAAAGAGTGATCTCATCCCTCTCAATGACAAAGAGTGATCTCATCCCTCTCAATGACAAAGAGTGATCTCATCCCTCTCAATGACAAAGAGTGATCTCATCCCTCTCACTGACAAAGTGTGATCTCATCCCTCTCACTGACAAAGTGTGATCTCATCCCTCTCACTGACAAAGTATGATCTCATCCCTCTCAATGACAAAGAGTGATCTCATCCCTCTCAATGACAAAGAGTGATCTCATCCCTCTCAATGACAAAGAGTGATCTCATCCCTCTCAATGACAAAGAGTGATCTCATCCCTCTCAATGACAAAGAGTGATCTCATCCCTCTCACTGACAAAGTATGATCTCATCCCTCTCAATGACAAAGAGTGATCTCATCCCTCTCAATGACAAAGAGTGATCTCATCCCTCTCAATGACAAAGAGTGATCTCATCCCTCTCAATGACAAAGAGTGATCTCATCCCTCTCAATGACAAAGAGTGATCTCATCCCTCTCAATGACAAATTGTGATCTCATCCCTCTCACTGACAAAGTGTGATCTCATCCCTCTCACTGACAAAGTATGATCTCATCCCTCTCAATGACAAAGAGTGATCTCATCCCTCTCACTGACAAATTGTGATCTCATCCCTCTCACTGACAAAGTGTGATCTCATCCCTCTCACTGACAAAGTATGATCTCATCCCTCTCAATGACAAAGTGTGATCTCATCCCTCTCAATGACAAAGTGTGATCTCATCCCTCTCAATGACAAATTGTGATCTCATCCCTCTCACTGACAAAGTGTGATCTCATCCCTCTCACTGACAAAGTATGATCTCATCCCTCTCAATGACAAAGTGTGATCTCATCCCTCTCAATGACAAATTGTGATCTCATCCCTCTCACTGACAAAGTGTGATCTCATCCCTCTCACTGACAAAGTGTGATCTCATCCCTCTCACTGACAAAGTGTGATCTCATCCCTCTCAATGACAAAGTGTGATCTCATCCCTTTCAATGACAAAGAGTGATCTCATCCCTCTCAATGACAAAGTGTGATCTCATCCCTCTCAATGACAAAGTGTTATCTCATCCCTCTCAATGACAAAGTGTGATCTCATCCCTCTCACAGACAAAGTGTGATCTCATCCCTCTCAATGACAAAGTGTGATATCATCCCTCTCAATGACAAAGTGTGATATCATCCCTCTCACTGAAAAATTGTGATCTAATCCCTCTCAATGACAAAGGGTGATCTCATCCCTCTCAATGACAAAGTGTGATCTCATCCCTCTCACTGACTAAGTGTGATCTCATCCCTCACACTGACAAAGTGTGATCTAATCTCTCTCAATGACAAAGTGAAACTCGGCCGATGTATTTGTACTTGAAGAAACGGCTAAATAGATGCCCTACTGTTTTGTTGCGTATCCTATACAGGACATTGGAGAACCAACCCAAGCATATTTCGGCTGTTGTGGTTTTTCTAGGAAAATATACGTCCAGCAGTTTGCCATTACTTCTGGACGTTCGGCTTCTTGATACCTCTGTCAAAACCAACGCAAGGCCCGCAGCTGGGATCGAACCCGGAACCCCGGCCTTACAAAGAGCGTTCGCAACGCCTAAGCCACAGACGCCGATAGCTGTCCTATGCGATGCCTTAAAAGATGCTTGACATTAAGAGGTACTGGAAACATGCGGTATCACAAACAATGATATATTGGAAACATGCGGTATCACAAATAATGAGGTATTGGAAACATGCGGTATCACAAACAATGAGGTATTGGAAACATGCGGTATCACAAACAATGAGGTATTGGAAACATGCGGTATCACAAACACTGAGGTATTGGAAACATGCGGTATCGCAAACAATGAGGTATTGGAAACACGCGGTATCACAAACAATGAGGTATTGGAAACATGCGGTCGGTATCACAAACAATGAGGTATTGGAAACATGCGGTATCACAAACACTGAGGTATTGGAAACATGCGGTATCACAAACAATGAGGTATTAGAAACATGCGGTATCACAAACAATGAGGTATTGGAAACATGCGGTATCACAAACAATGAGGTATTGGAAACATGCGGTATCACAAACAATGAGGTATTGGAAACATGCGGTATCACAAACAATGAGGTATTGGAAACATGCGGTATCACAAACACTGAGGTATTGGAAACATGCGGTATCACAAACAACGAGGTACTGGAAACATGCGGTATCACAAACAATGAGGTATTGGAAACACGCGGTATCACAAACAATGAGGTATTGGAAACACGCGGTATCACAAACAATGAGGTATTGGAAACATGCGGTATCACAAACAATGAGGTATTGGAAACATGCGGTATCACAAACACTGAGGTATTGGAAACATGCGGTATCACAAACAATGAGGTATTGGAAACATGCGGTATCACAAACAATGAGGTATTGGAAACATGCGGTCGGTATCACAAACAATGAGGTATTGTAAAACATGCGGTATCACAAACACTGAGGTATTGGAAACATGCGGTATCACAAACAATGAGGTATTGGAAACATACGGTATCACAAACAATGAGGTATTGGAAACATGCGGTATCACAAACAATGAGGTATTGGAAACATGCGGTATCACAAACAATGAGGTATTGGAAACATGCGGTATCACAAACACTGAGGTATTGGAAACATGCGGTATCACAAACAATGAGGTACTGGAAACATGCGGTATCACAAACAATGAGGTATTGGAAACACGCGGTATCACAAACAATGAGGTATTGGAAACATGCGGTATCACAAACACTGAGGTATTGGAAACATGCGGTATCACAAACAATGAGGTATTGGAAACACGCGGTATCACAAACAATGAGGTATTGGAAACATGCGGTATCACAAACACTGAGGTATTGGAAA